TGCCTCCTTCCCCGCCGCCCGGCACCACCCGGGCACCGGCGCCTCCGCCTGCTGCCCTCGAATGTGTCCTTCCTCCGGTGGCCCGCGCCCCGTCGGCACATCCACCTCCCACTCCAGTCCCTCCGCAGCCGGTGGTACAGGTGGGAAGCGTGCGACCCCGGCTGCGCCGAGGCCGGTGGTTGACAAATGGTGACCCTCCTGCCGTACTGTGTCTTGCACGTAGCAGTATCTGTTGTGAGTTTGGGAGCAAATCCGTCTGCAGCAGTGCTTGGAGGTATTGTAATTAGCAAATAGAATTGGATACACCCTTGAGTATTGTTTACGTGCTTCAAAGGAAACCAGTCAAGTGGTTATCCACATATCTGGGATTTCTGAATTCAAGATCAATGCTGAGGAAATCTTGTAACACCCCTGGTGCTTTTGCAGAATGTAAGGGGCTCGTTTTGTGTGTGTGATTGCCTTCTGATTTTGTGGTAGTTTCTGCCTCTCTGCCTAATTGTAACGTTTATTTTTATGGGTAAACTGAATCATCCCCATGAAATACTTCTGTTAGCCTTAGCGTTTTAAAATGTGTTTCCTTATGCGACAACAACTGCATTAGGAGTTTTTCAATGGTAATACATTCCTTTACCATTACCAAACGTTAACTGTCTTCGCAAAATAATTTTCTAGAGGAGAATGTGAGGCCTACCTACTACGTTTAAGGATATGTTGAACTGTAAATAAGTAACCTGTGTTTTGAGGAGTCTCATGTAGGAAAAGTGAAAGTGTTTTGGTTTAGTATATTTTAGCTGTCTTGGCTAAGAAATGCCTAAAAGGTTATGAGTGTTTTACCTTTATATGACACATGCCATTAGTGACACAGTCTTAATGCCTTACAAGTTTTTAAACTGTCTTTAGGACGTTGATGGTGTATATTTTCCACTGTGACGTCTTACTGTTAGTTTCCCCACCTGGTTCCTCTGTGAAAATCAAATTGTCTTACCTTTCTGCTTTCTAGGAAATGCTCATTCTGAAAGGGTTTAACAGTGCCAGTATGTGTAGAGTTGTATAATCATGAATACAGTTGGATGACTTCTTTGACCTTTAACTGTGACTTCTATTTTTGCTTTCTGCTTTTTAATATTAATAATCATTTGACGTCGTTAATCTATATTTTAATCTCACACATTTATGAAATATAGATCAAATACCTTTTTTTTTCCTTTGTAAACAGTTTGGTATAATACACTGACTGCAAGCAAGTCATTGTGCATTATACATGTTGATTGCAAACAGTCTAGAATTACTTTGAGTAATTTAGTCGGTAGCATTCTGCTAAATGCTTAAGATCTCAGGGAAAAAAAAGAAAGTACTGCTTCTTCAAGCTGTCTGTGTAATTATTGACTTGTAACTTATTTTAGTTCTCATTGTTGCACTTCAAGGGGAAAGAAAATGCTGAAGGATTTTTTTGTGTGTCATTTTTTTTATTGAACAATAATGAAAACTTCTGTGCAGTTAAAATTTCTTCACGAGTGTATGTGGGTGGTGTTACAGAAACCAGCATTTGCTTGAAACTGTGTTCAGTGATTACACCATTTCTTAGACTGCACACTAGTAGCCTTCAGTTTCAAGATCTGTAAGCTGCCTGAAGTAGTTGTCTCCTGGTTACAAAATGTAGGTGTGATCTTCCGTCAGGTCTTGTAAATAAAAGGTGGCATACCTTCAGTCCTGGCTAGAAACAATGGAGCAGCGTGTGCACTGGGTGAGCTACGGTTTCTTTAGTCAAAAAGCACAGGGATGAGTTTTATCTTGAAGGGCAGGCAAAATCTACCAGGTCATAGTTAGATTGGTGATTAAGATCAAATGCTGCTTTATTGCTTTTTAAAAAAAAATAATCTTCTGTTTATAAAAGGAAAGGCTTACTGGAGTTGTATAGGAAAATAGTAGTTTCATTATTTGCAAAGCTTTCCTCCCCCCCCCCAAACACAGGACTCTTCAGGCAAATTCAAAGCAGACGTTATCTGCTTATAGCAAGTCATTACTGTGAATTACTGATGACTAATACTGTTTGTAGCCGTGTTCTTGAGTTTCATTGTAGATTTAACTGGTCACACTGAAGATGATCTCCTGGATTTTAAGCATCAAACTTAGTTGCTTCAGAATAACATAAACATTAATTAATGATTGAAACATGATTGGAAAGAAAGTAATTTTGGCCTGAGTTCCAGATTGATGATTGCTAACCTCCAGCTCAAGTAATCACTAGATCTATTTTTGTTGTTGTTGTTTAATCCTACTGTGTTGCCAGTAATATGCTTTGCCTATGACTACACAATGATTTGAAATTTTGATGGCAGGTGAAGTTTAAAAAAATCAGGGTGGCCTATTCCTTCTGTTTGTTTTTAAGTGATCTTGGAAACCAAGAATGGAGGGCCCATCTCTAGTCTAATTAATAGTGCCTTACAGATGACTCCAAGTAAAATACTGTTACAGACTTGAAATGTCTTACTTAATTGTCATTAATAACCATAGTTCCAGTGTCCTTGGCCCTTTTCAGTACAGTGTTTAAATACGATTGTATTAATAATGTTATTGAACTTCCTGTTTTTGGAAGGGAAAAACAGAAATACAACTTTGTAGTCTCCTGTGAAACACACATTTTTAACGTCTGGGGAAATTAATGTTAGAGTATACTTTTACCTGTAATAAAGGCATCTTTCTTTCTACAGATATAAATGCCATGAAACATGGAACTACTGTGCATTAAGATAACTGGTCTGGTCTCTAGCTTTAATGCTTCCCTGGAAGCCTCGCTCACAATTCAAATGTTTAAGATCTCAAGCAGGAGGTAATAGCAGTGGGAAGTGTGGTTTTGTTTTTCCAATTCTTGACAGACTCCCATACGTATTTGTGTATATACAAACCAGCTGTCATCTTGTTAGATGAATAAAATGGGGGCTGGGGGGGAAACAGGAATTTTTTTTATTTGTGTCCAGTAAGTAGCTTTCCTGTCAACGTCACAACACACAGAGGCGTGGGATGAGAGAGGTTTGAGAGTCTCCTGTAAAATATACACAAATCAAAGCAGTTCAGTTAGTCTTTTACAACTACCTTTAAGATGTATGGACTATCGCTCTCCAGTTCATAAAGTTCATGTTTTTTAATTGGTTTCATTTGATGCTTGCCAGATTTCCCCTGGTTTCAGTGAAAGCATTGTTAGGATATATTGTTAGGTAAATGATAGTATTAATATTTGACTTTTGAGGCACCTGGCTTCAGAAATACCTTTTGTGCTGGGCACAGTGGCAGTTGTTGACAGAGCTCTTGTATACTGCTTTTGGAGAGGCAGGATTCCAGACAGTTGTAACTGATACAGCTGGAAACAGCAGACTGGCTTCTGGGTACAGCTTAGCTCTGAAGAAGGATTTTTGTTTTGTTTTTATTTTTTGATTTCTTGGATGTGCTTTGTATATTAGCATTTGACTTCATGAAGATCCTAACATCTTGGGCTTGACTATTCTGAGATAGTCTTATATGTTTTGACAAAACCATATGTTCTGTATTTTAGTAATTACTTTTGGTTTTGTGGAAGTACAGGTTTTTGAATCATAAACAAGATACCATTAACATAAGAACAGCATTTTTACGTCAGAGCAAAGCTACATCTAGTCCATTACCTGCCTCCAAGAGTAGTCACTAGCAGATGCATAGGGAATAGTGTAGAAAGGGATAAAGGGAAATGGCTGTGTTTCTCTTGTTTCTTTTTGATCTGAAAGTTAGAGTTGATTTCTGAGTTAAAACCATTTACTGTTTGCATTTTTGTCTCTTTTTTTTTTTTTTTTTAAATTTAATTTTTTTTTGAATCCCTGTAAAACTGTTCTGTACACAACATCCTTGGGCAGTGAGTTCCGCAACGTAATTGGAGCCCGTATTGGGAAAAATACCTCTCTACTGAGTTTTTTAAACTTGACACCTGGTCATTTCATTTGATGCAACTTAAGTTAGCTCTTTTATAATATGAGACAGTAAATAACTCTCCCATTCTGTCATTCATTGTATAGACTTCTTTACATTACTAAGTATGGCAGCTCTTAGAGTAAACCACGTTGAGGACATTTCACTTTAGCTTAACATCTACTAACTAATCCTATGTCAAGCCTATATGGCTGCAAACTAAACATTTGTTTGTGTTCTAGTATACAGAGGGCTGAATCAGTATTTTTAGTTTGGTCTTGTGGTCTCGATCTATGAAGTGGGGTTACTACTGCCTTTTAAGTAGTAGAAGCTTTCCTGCCAGTGAAAGCCAGTAGATTCTGAACAAGGATCAAGTGTATTTATTAACTAAGTAGATTCCTTGGAAAAGTCTATTGCGTTCAGCATTACCTGAGCAGGAAATAGCACAAGAGATTGCAGAAAGCCTCTAATGTATCAGTGCACTTTTTTCTGTCATCTTATTGCAGTTACTCAAATATATGCAAAGATGTGATTGCTGTATGAGTTAGAGTTGTGGCTGCATGGGTGCTTGATGACAATTTCTCCCTGGAAACAACTCGGGTTTGGCTTAATAGTTGAGGTGAAGGGATTGTAACATCTCCTTAGGTAGCGTTACTTGCTAGCTTAGGAAGAATGTTTTGTGCTTGGTTTTTGGCTTACAGTTTATGTTTTAAAGGCTCTCTTTAGGACTATAAGTGTTAGATACTTTAAGAAATCAAACAATTTTTCAAGGAATGTATTTGTAAGTACAGACTAATTACCTGAGGCAGAATTGGCACCTGCTTTTTCCCTTTCTTGACAACAATTTTGATAGATGCAGTTGCTCATATAGAAGACAGCTAGCTGAAATGTTTTTGAGACCTTATGATTGATTTGTGTTCAGAGGAGTATTTTGGAGTTCCATACTGGTTGTGTTAAAACTATGAATTACTTAAAAATTACCTTTAAGCATAAACCTAAGAAACATTGGACTTGGCTGTTGAATCAGACTTGAATCAGACTCCAGAAACTTTTACTTACTTGCTTTAGCAGACACCGTGTCCCATGCCATAATGACTAATCAGGTTAACTGGGCTATGTTTATAGGTGTGTTTTTGGCTTCTTTAAAGTAGGATTTGCAAATGTCAAGCTCAGTAGCAGTAGTGTTCTCACAGAAGCAGATCTGATTGAAAAAGAACGTGGGAGGAAGAAGACAGAGCGCGTATTCTTTGAAATGAAAATAGATGAGTGTGAAGTTTCTATAGTCATAATTTGTGTTACAGTTGTTACTGTCATCCCATCTTTTCTGCCCCCCCCCCC